GCTGTTTTCCTCGGCTTTATAATGCCGATATTCGATCCTTAGACTTTTTTCCTTTCCGGATGAATTCATGCTGCTCTTAAATTCCATGGCTCCATTAAAAGCTCCTGGAATAGATGGTTTGCATGTGAGTTCTTTCAAAAGCATTGGGATACTGTTGGAGGCTCGGTTTGTAAAATGATTCAAGACAGTTTTATAGCTCAAAGGTGGCGCCCTCTCTCAATCACACCGTTCTTGCTCTCATTCCAAAATCATCTTCGCCGGAAAGCTTTAATGATTTCAGGCTGATAAGCCTTTTCTCGATCCTATACAAGCTTATCACTAAAATAGTTAAAGGTATTATCCCAAAGCGGTTGCTGAACACCAAGCTAGCTTTATTGCTGGGAGAATATTCAAGAAAATATTAATATCAACCAGAAGTTATGCATTCAATGGGTCGAAGAAAGATAAGTTTGGTTGGATGGCCATCAAGGTCAACCTCCAAAAAGCCTTTGATAATTTACGGTGGATTTTATCCGAGAAACTCTCTTGGAAGCAAACTTTTCGGATCTCTTGTTATTCTTCTTATGTGTTGTGTCTCTTCTGCTACTATGCAATCCAATGGAATGTGTGACTAAGCCTGCTGTTCATACCAGAAAAAGCTATCCGCCAATGCGATCCTTTATCCCCTTATTTAATCATTCTGACTATGGAACGCTTGAGTCATCTCATCAAGCACTTTGTGAGTATAGATGCGTGGAAACCTTTCTGGCTTTAACGGTTGGTACCCCTTTATCGCATTTGTTCTTTGCCGATGACCTCCTTCTATATGCAATGTCAAACTCCGCTCAAGCATCTTTTGTTGCACATTCTTGATGTCTTTGCCCATTATTCTGGCCACTCTGTGAACAAACGAAAACTGAGATATTTTTTCTCCTAATACTCCACCATCTACTAGACAGGCTATTAGTGATCAATTGGGTTTCATCAAGTTGATGAGATGAGCAAGTATTTGGGTACCCCGTACGTCATCGAGGTTCTAACTCCAAGCTTTACGGTACGTCATGGAAAACCTTCGGACAAAACTCTACAATTGTCCTCTTCCACCCTATCACTTGCGGGTAGATTAACTTTGGTGAAGGCCGTTTTATCGGCAATTCCAACATATTTCATGCAGTCCTGCTTACTCCCTGCTCATGTTTGCAGTAGCATCGAGCAACTTATCCGTATTTTATTTGGAAGTCAGATGATAAGATAAAGCTTTCTCTCTTGTTAATTGAGAACATTGTGCCAACCTTACAATACGGTGGCTTGGATACAAGGAACTAGTTGTTTCACAACATGCCCTCATCTGGAAAATATGTAATGCTTTAATTATGACACCGGAGGCTCTTTGGATAAAGGTGTTGCGGCAGAAGTATTCCATTTCAGATTTGGTCCCTATTCTTCACCTAGTGTTGGACTATCTTACCCCTTACCTCATTACATATGGGATCAAGGGACAACCATTTATTTTCCTTCACAAAGCTTCTTGCTCCCCTTTATGGCGATCTCTTGCTAAAACTTGGCCGAATTTTTACTCTAATCTGTCTGGTTTGTGGGTAAAGGTGACTCCACATTTTGGTACAATAATTGGCTCCCGGCTCTCGACCCTCTTCATTGTTGGCGAAGGTCGGACTTAGTTACTAAACGAGTCCCCTGTCAAATATTTTGCGGACGATGAGGGTAATTGGAATTGGTCACACTTAATTTCTCTTCTTGATGCAAGAGTTATTACTCAATTCGTGGTGTCCCTCCACCAAATGAGTCCCTTGGCCTTGATCGGTGTCATTGAAAACATGGAACCCAAGGCATCTTTTTGGTTAAGAGTGCTTACAACGTCTTGCAAAAGATTCCTGGGATAGTGAAAATTCTCTTTGGGTGTTATTAGAAAACAAATATACCTGAGCGACTACGAACCTTCTTATGGTTGTCCATGATAAATTCTCTTAAATGTCAACAGATGTAAGCGGGGTATTGCCCATGATCCTACTTGCACCGTTTGTGGTACTTCGGATGAATCAACCTCCACATTCTCCGGATTGCCCTTTGACTAAGCCCATGTGGACCACTTTAGCTCATCGCAGCGATGTATCAAGCTTTTTTTCTCTGCAGCTTCAAGACTGATCGCGCACAATCTGTCTTCCTCTTCAACCGTGCAATATGCGGGCTCTGTTATACCTTGGAATACAGCTTTCTCTTCCTGATCTGTATGTATGGAGCATCGAAATATAACATTTTTCAGCATGAATTCCAATCTATGGACTCTTTGCTCCACCAAGGTCTCACCTGGTCGAACACTTATTTTCTTGTCCATCTGTTACTCAACCTCGTCAAAATGCTGTTGAAGTTCGTTGGGAGCCCCCCTTCTCTCGGAATTAGTTGCCTAAACACTGATGGTTTAGTGGATGCTGCAATTCGAGGTTCAGCAGGTGATGTGTGCGTGACCACGAAGGCCATTTTCTTATGGGTTTCACTCGAAATTTGGGTATTTCCACGGTTATTAATTCCGAACTGTGGGGGGTTTTAGAAGGTTTAAAACTTGCTTGGAGCAAGGGTTTTCGTCACTTAATTTTGTAGGTCGACAGCTCTGATGCCTTTGAGATGATTACTTCGGCTTCCATCAATAGTCCGATAGCTCTGGTGCGTGGTATTTTAATTTACATAATGGAGACTGGCAATTGAATTTAAGCTTATCCGACGCGAAGCAAACATGGCTGCTGACTTTTAGCTAAGCTCTCCAGCGACAATGATGATGACCTCAAGATTTTTGACAGTGCTCCTACCGGTCTCCAGGCAATCTTAGACCGGGATGCAGTTGGACCTCCTTATATTCGCCTTTGTATATTCTCCTACCGTCTCATTTCAATTCGGGAAACAAATTATTATTTTTAAATTTATATTTATTTATTATATTTACAAAATGTATTGTAAAATATAGAAAAATTAAGATTGATTACATTTTACTAGTTAAACATGGAGATTAAAATTCTATATAAGAGTATAATATTACATCATAATTACACTTTTATGGAGTTATTATATGATGTGTAAACACTCTAAATACATATTTAAAAAATTAAGTAAATTGGGGGGAAAGAAAGATGTGTATATTCGTATAATATTTATTTTATATCATAAGTGTTTTTAAAGTATATATATGAGCTAGTATCAACTTACATAATATAAATTTTTTTTAGTTTTATACAGATATAAAACCATTAGATGAGTGAAATAGAATGATGAGATTAATGATTTTTTTTTCCATTGAATAACTTGTTCTTTCTCATTGTTAATCTCAATCGTCTATTTTCACTCATCCAATGGTCCTAAAAAGAAACTAAAAGATTTACAATGTAATTGGATCTTATCTCTCTTTCTATATATATATATGGGTTAAAATTTACTTACACAGTGCATTGTTAGTGTTAGTTTTCATTAAAATATTTTTTAGAACCACGTATAGAGAGTGAAAATAGAATGATGAGATAATGATTTTTTTCCATTGAATAACTTATTCATTTCTCATTGTTAATCTCAATCGTCTATTTTCACTCATCCAATGGTCCTAAAAAGAAAACTAAAAGATTTACAATGTAATTATCTCTTATCTCTCTCTTCTATATATATAGATATGATATATATAATATATACTTACACAGGTTGTTAGTGTTATTTTTCATTGAACTAAATATTTTTTTCATGGAATCATTATTTTATTGCCATTATACAGATACATCGTAAACAGCAATGGGAGAAGTAGAGATATGTTGGAATGCAATTAAGTGAACCAATGATATTGATTGAACCCAAAATTGAAATACAATTAGTTCAATTGATTGATTGAACCCAAAATTGAACATACAATTAGCTCAATCATCAATCCCATTATTAAAACATTGATCCTAACTCAAAAGCTTATTATGAAAATTGAATAGAAGTAGGGGGACAAAATGAATCTAATGTAGTTCCTCAATGGGATCAATAAGCTATAATCAGAACTCAACTGGACCATAAGGAACTTAGCCTGGATGCCAGTTTCGCGCTCTTGTAGTCGTCTCTAAGCTGAATAAACCTGAATAATTCAATACCCAATCAAACTAGCAACCTTCACAAACAAAATCACCTGATTTTTCATACCTAATAGATTCAGTTTGAAAATTCCAAAAGTTTTATTCTTTTAAGCCGATCTAATTAGTAGACTATCATTTATTATGAACTGCATATACTATTCTGAAGATAATTTGAAGTTACAAAATTGAAATTAATTAATAATTTGTGTTGATATGTTTTATTAAATTATCTTTTCATAAAACAAATGTATAGTTAACTTAAGGTCGGGTTATTTTTTTGTTTGGTTTGGTTGAGTGAATTCGTTGTTGAATTCTTTTTCTTTTTTTTTTTTATTTATTCTGATCAAATTTGATTGAGTTGGGTTGGTTGAGTAAGGAGCTTAGGTGAGCGTTTCCAGTTCAGGTCAAGTTTGATAGATGTGGTAGGACTGAATATGAGATGAAATAGATCGCAAACCACTCAATTTATTTGATACTCAACTTGAAAAGTTCATGGGCACCTAAAACAAAATTATATATTAATTTTTAAAAAATTAAATTATTAATAATATTTATTTATATGTTTTTTAAAATACAATATAAGATTTTCATGTACTTAAAGTTCAAGTTTGAATTCGAGTTCGAACTTCAACCAAATTAATTTTGAGATGTTTTGAATTCATTTTTTTCGAGCTCGAGTCAAGCTTCAATTTTTACTTTAAGTTCAAGTCAAGCTTGATAATTTTAAGCTCACAAGCTTTCGAGTTGAGTCGAGCTCAATAGTGCTCGAGCTTGACTCGTCTCATTTACAACCTACATGTAAAACTTCCACATGCATTTCAAGTGAAAATGTAGGGTTCTTCAGTTCATCCTGTTGCACTGCACAAAAATCACCTACCAGATAGTACAAGATGCAGATGATAGAACATTACCTTGAGCGTCTTTCCGGATACTCGGGGTACCTCAAAAAAAGAGGAGACTTTCAGGAGCAACAATAAACACATTGGCCAAGCTGAAGACAGTTCATCAGTAAAATTGTGACAAAAAAGAAAAATAAAATAGAGTTCCAGTGAATGAGTGCAATAACTTACATGCCAAGGAGTTCAAATTTCTCATCCACAGAAGGGGCATTAAAACTGCGCACAAATTCTCCATACTCTGTTATGTCACGCTTCAGTCTTAGTCCTCCACTGCAAACCAGTACACAAAATAAAATGACATGCAAACAAATATGCGGTAGTTATGCTGTGCGGCGGAAAAATCTAATGTTAATTTACGTGAGTTTTAATCTAAATGTTACTTGTCGACTCTAAAATGATTCAACCGAAAATGTTATATAGCGGCGAGTTTTAACTCAAAATATATTCTATCTACTCTAAAAATTACACAATTAGCAATAATTTCAATACAACCAAGAATGTTACATGAGTTTTTTTACGGTAACTTTTAATTTGTTATACAATTTACATAATTTGCTATGGAGACATAATATTTTCAGTATTAACCTAAAATAATACTCAATTTATTCTAAAGAGTTACACACTTGATAAATTTTTCCGTTACAACCAATTACATCATTTTTTTAACTTTAAATTAACCGGTTGTATTTTATACTCTCCACGATATGGACTACCACATCTACACAATTTTCTATGGTACACATTCAAAACCATATGCATAACTGTTGCTATTCCACTGTTCGAAAACAAACGGCCATTGGAAACTGAATCGAGGAAAAATACCTCGGATTAAAAGTGAACTTCATCCAATGATTAAGTAGTCCTTTGTACAAGTTATTTCCTGAAATGAATATGATCATTTACTTTCAAAATGTGGTATAAGAACTTATCAAAACAGTATAAATAACAAAAAAATATAATCGAAAAAAATGAATATACCACATGATCCTAATATGTCTGGAGCTTGAAAGGATATAGTGAAAAGATTTACATCACGTCTTGAGAGTAATGCCAATGATTAACGGGTCCTTTGAACAAATGATTAACTAGTCAGGTCAATCACATCTTGGGATAGGTATTGGTTGAAGAGCTTATTAAATATCCCTTCATCTCTTAAATGATCATCTTTGATCAAGGCCATAGGGTTGTTATCCTTATAGACCTAGAAGTTCTTACATCCATAGCCTTCTCCCTCATTCGAGAAGGCCTATAGAAATTGTTCTAACCAACTTTTGAGTCCAAACAATCAGTAAATGGTGGCACCATGGCCTATTATTTTCCAAGTTTCTATAGGAAATTTGTTTGAACTTGATAGTAGTACTAACTTCTATGTTTCACCACGATGTGTCCTTACATGGTGGCACCATGGCCTTTGATTCAACTGATACCTCCTTCACCAGTCGTCTAATACAACTAGCCATTTTACTACACATCAAACCAGATTCTAGCACATACCACACAAAACAAAAATGCTGAAAATTATCAAGGAATGCGTCACTTAAAAAAACTGTTTCAACTGAATGAATGAAGGATGAAACAACAAGTTTGTGTAATTGGTTTAAGGAAGTTCTTGATGTGTGAAAGGATCCCTGTATTCATAAACTGTAAAACAACAATCTTGCAAAGTGCAAGTAATTTGTTCAGCATTGATTGTTCGCAAAGTAAATTAGCAGACTCAAAGTCATGGAAATATCTAAACAATAGTCAAGGGAATACAAATATAAACACCATACCAGTTCAGTCAGAATGCTTGTTTGTTAAGACCCTCTAATGCAGTGAATGCAGCCTCGAGGACCCGAGAAAGATAAGCAACAACTCTAGACATGGAAAAGAAGACGAAAGAAAAGAAATTTAAAAAAAAAAAGAGATTGCATATTACATCAGCAAGGCTAAAGAAGAGATCTACAACATGAAACTGAATTTATTGAGTTCAATTATCAATTAGACACAAAGTGTAACATAAACGAAGCTACAGTTGGTGGAAACTGTTGTAGGCAAAGGTCTTGAATCATGTTTCAGAACCAGTCAGCTTCGCATCCGTTGAGTTTCTAATGCCGCCACAAGAGTTGACTAGAAGCTATATCACTTGGACTCGTGTGTAGTGTTGGATACAAGCTACGTCTAACATAGGTATGGTAAAAAAAATTCTTATTTATCCATGTATTTGAGGATCTGAAGAGGTCATGTTACACATAAGTGGATACAAGTACTTCAAGAAAATGAAGAGTTGTGGAGCTTATATTATTAACATTTATTACTTCAGTTTTATTAAATATAAAGATATTTTGATGGTGGTTAAGATTCTAAGTTTCCTTTACGTTTTAAATCTAGGACTAGGATTAAATTATCTTTGTAATCCTAATATAAAAACGTTGTAAAAATATTACAAACACAACTTAACGTTATCATTTTTTAAATTAAAAGAAAACTAGAGATTTCCTTGAACCCAAGTTTTTCTTGAGTTCCATCTTCTTTCTTAGTCGTTTGTTCAATCTTATTTCTTTTGATTGTTGCTGTTTTTGTTCTTACCCACATCAACATTGGTAATCATTCTCGTTGATCAAGGGTTTAAATAATATTTACTTTGAAGCCATGTTTTGGAATGGTAAAGGCTCCAAGAGGAAATCAGGGTCAAGAGATGAATTTGGTTGCAATTCGACGTGCAATAGAAGAATGTCACGTGCAATTCATGATATGCATGATAGGAATCGGTGGGAGTAGGACAAAGATTAAGAAGGTGCCAGATCAGTTTTGAAATACCAAAAGATAGTCAAGTTGAGGAATCTGATCTAGGAGATGAAGTAAACTTCCATGATTCTATCCTCATAAATCAGACGACCAATGGAAGACTACAGGTACGATTGACAGGTTGGCTCATGCCCTTGAACTAAACGGGGGCGGAATTAGGATTGAAGTTGTTGACTTTCATAGTAAGATGCATGCGAAAGATTATTTATATTGGGAAGCTAGTTTGGAGAATTATTTCAACTCGAAGATATTGAACTTCAATGGTGGAAGAGAATTGAAGAGCAACGTGCACGCCAAGACAAGGCAAAATTAGCACATGGGAGCACATGAAAGCAAAATTGCGTAAACAATTACTACTGCTGATTATGCAATGGAGTTATCTGAGAAGGTCCACTAGTTAAGGGAAAAGGGATTGTTGGTGGAAGGATACACTCGAATTTAACAATCTTTCTATTAGAGTTGGGTTGAATAGGGGAAATGACAGATAAAGTCTCACTATCTACCAGGATTAAATCTCTATCAAGAATGAGATGAGTGTGGTTTAATTATTCAACCTCGAAGACGTATGAAAACATGCTTTAATGGATGAAACACGTGTTTGGCTATATGGTGCAAGAAAGCTTGTGTTCGAAAGAATTGTAGTACAAAGAGGGGTTGGATCTGTCTAAATGTTAAAACAAAACAAACAGCCTTCGAAACCCATAGTGAGGCTTCTATGAATCGTGGTGGAGGAAACATGAGAAATCTTGAGATTGCTGAGTCAGACAGAACGTTTCTAAGACCGGTAGCAGCTCTCATTCATTGTTTTAATTTTGATTAAAAAGGACGTAGTACTTTCTTGTCCTAATGGTGACTTTAACCGAGATGGTAGAAGCGGAAGGACATTTTCCTAGACCCATTTATGATGAGTATGTCAAAGAGAAATGAAGAACGGTGTGTACCTGTTCAAGGAGAATCCTTGATGTTCGTAAAGTGTTGACAACATCAATCAAAGAAGAATGAGAGCTTCAGACTTATATCCTTTGAGGGTTTTGATGGGGTGTTCTTGAACTTTCAGATCAGATTCAACAACTTCCTAAAGAGAAGAATGAGGTTATTGAAGATGTGGATATATACAGAAGTCAAGTCTAGAAGGGTGATCAATATAGGAGATTTTTGGTGAATGTTTGATCAAACCAGCTAGTGAACGCACTTGGATTGCGGAAGAAGAACTGCAACAAGTTGATCCCAAAATTTATGCTAAAGACATGAAAGTTTTCTCACCAAAGTCTAGTTTTCCAAGTCGGGAAGAATGACAAATGAGCTTATACTATTATAATTATAAGTTTCATCAAATATTAGAGATACTTCTTATGATTAGGATTATAAGTTTCCTTTACGTTTTAAATCTAGGGCTAGGATTTAATTATCTTTGTAACCTTAGTATAAATAAGCTGTAAAAAATAAAAATATTACAACCACAACTTATTATTATTACTATTTTTGGATAAAAACAAAATTATATGTTTCCTTTAACCCTAAGTTTTTCTTGAGTTTCATCTTCTTTCCTACTCGTTTGTTTAGCGTTATTTCTTTTCATTACTTTTGTTTTTCTTCTTGCACACATCAAGTTGTAGAAGCATAAACTAGAAGAACAAACCTTGTGCAAGCATTTGTTGGACGATGATCATGAATCATTCCATCATCATTTGGTTGGTAATCAGCAGTCTTTTGTTCGGCTGTTAACAACCGCTCAACCTTCAATGGGGTTTCACCGAGATAATTACGATGGATAATAAAAGAAATGAAGACTAAATAAACAGGCACAATCTAATAGCTTGGAGAGAAAAAAAACATAGTGCTAAGAAAATATGGACAACAAGTGGGTGACGAAAAGAATAATCAAAAGATAACAAGACACTAGACATAGGAATGGAAGTCTAATCCTCCAATATAACAATTTTTTATTCAGTATATCTAACCCCATCCCTTCCCAAATGCTATTGCCCAGTAGAAGAGACCGAATCTTACCTCGGCCATCAAAGTGTCAATGCATTGCTGAAGCCCTTTATAAGCAGCACTCTCCGCGCTAGACATTGCAGTTGCCATTTCTTCACAAGCAGCAGCATGAGCACCATCCACAGGTAATAAGAGCCTAGATATAGAATTTGCAAAGTACTGCAGATGAAAGGTATGATTGATTTAAAATCATGAAATTGAATATTCTGTCATATGTGAACTTTGGTACAAGAAACAACCAAGACATTGAACATACTTGCTGAATTATGACCACACTACTGCCGGAATGTTGTACTGCGACCATGAAAGCTTTGAAACTGGTTTCACCAGCAGCTGCAGCAGCTTCTGCCTGTTCATTGATTAATTAGCCACCCTTATTTCCATTATTTTTCGTTAAATTGAAACTAAAAATGGATAAAATAAATGATAATCTGTTATGTACCTGAGAAGTAGCTGCAGCAGCCACCCTTCTACTAACACTTGTACCTATCACAAATCTTTCCCTCAAGCTTGCAGCTTCAGTCAAGCCATCTCTAGCCCGTTCAAGTCCATCTGTTATGTATTTGCTAACCTGAAAAATGAGACTAATTTAGTGCCCATGAAAAACATCTACTGGTTTGACATGCTTAATTAATCAACTTACTTGGTTGAGTAGGCAAGTGAACACTGCTCTAACATTGGCTGCAAGTGTAACTGGCTGTCAATGACATTGCAATAAATTAGTTGTTGATGACATTTAAGTCGTTATATATGGTTTCTATCACTCGACCCGTTTCCTTTTACCAAAAGCATCGTGTTTTATATTTCATATATTTAATCATGTCACTGTAACAATACTTAATGTACCAGCCATGGTGGTGGATAAGGCCATTGAATTGCATTGTTTCAAAGTTTTGAAACAAAATATTAGCGCACATGGAGGTTAAGGAACTCCTAGAATGCTAAGATTTAGACAATTTCAAGAGCAATATAGTTAATAGAAAAATTGGAAAGCCTCAATTTCTTCCCCTACAACCCCCTCTTAGGTGCTCATCAGCCCAGTGATTTCAGTCATGTCCCTTAGAATGCACAAAAATTGCACAGAACTAAGTGAACGTAACATCGGTCAGTGGATAAATTATTACCAACGAGGAAAATAATGTGCATCTGGATATTGCTTCTTCATTCCACTGCACAAACTCTGTTGCAGCTGCAACAGATATCTCCTGAGGGGAAGAAGCCGCTGAAGCCCCTTTAGAACGAACTATTGTTCCACTAGGCTCACAGACTCTCTGGCTTTCAACACGCAGTTCTTCCAACTGCATAGCATCACAGATGTTACAGGCTGCAACAATGAAGTAAATCAAGCATTGAATCTTTAGGAGATAAGCTAAATGCAAACCTTTGCTTGATACAGTTGCCTAAGAGAGGCTTTCTCATAGTCAGGATATTCATCCTTGTGAGAAGAAAAAAGAGACTCTGCAAGACCTGTAATAACAAGCAAATTTCTGATTTAGTCATAAAAGGAGCATAAAATAGCTATTGAGTGTAGTTACTTTCAATTCACATTTGTTTGAGTCACGTCAAATTTCTTGATTGTAAATTCATCCGACACAAGCGTTGTCTATTTTGGTCTATTTTTATTAAATCCCAGCAGTAGTTCCAAATAACCAACCCTAAACTGTCTAATTTAATCAAATAACAATTTATCTGATTCCTCCAGAAACGTGTTTAACATAAAAGGAATATGCACAACAATGTTATTTGCAAAGGATCTACTGTGATATTGTTACCTTCAACATCCAAATCACCACATCCAACGGCTCGCAGGTCTCTAGCAAGTTCTTGAGTCTTCTCATATGACACAGCTAACACTCTCAGATACTGAAGCCTCAAGTTGAATATGATATGAAGTCAGTCATCACTTCTACTTACCATTAAAATAAGGAGAAATGGGTGCATTTTCTATAAGTTTACTCACCAATAAAATTCCACCTTCCTCCATGGGACGGGGATGCGCAAGAGATGGTTTCTCCAATAATTTGTCCAAAAGAGAAGTAACTCGCTGCTCCAAAACTCGCTGAGAGTGACATAGCAAACCAGATATAATTAGAAAAAAAATTATTCAGAATGGTGCTGCTGCATATGCATGGAAAAAAATGCATCAATATGGGAACATGAAGAACATAATCATCAAGGCACCTGAACTAAGATTGACATAACATCATTAGGAGAAGGAAATACTGCCATAATTGTGGCAGCTTCTTTTCGTACAGTATCTGCAGGAGAAACAACATTAGATACAAGAACTCTGTTAATGAATTCAAGCCCTTCAGTTAACATATATTAACTAATCTCTTGACCTGTAATTTCTTTGTATAATTTAGAAAGACCACGGGAAATATAGTTAGGAGAAACTCGGTCGCCCAGAACTAAATTAGTGTCTGAATTCATCACTTCCACATCAATGAACATTGGCCGGGTTGCTACATAATGTTGCATGGCACTAGTGCCCCTGTTGAACTGCAATTTGTAGAACCAGATATTCCGAATTGATTAACATGACCGTTTCATAAATTTAAATAGCCTGCTTGAAATAGAATAAATTGATAAATGAATTACAATTTTATAGAGTGATATACAATTTATAATACCTGAGATAAAATTTTAGCACATTTGGACATGGTAGACAATTCCCTTCTCTGTGATGCAGCATCAAACCGAGCCAACAATCTGTTCTCCAGCTCTACAGAGATTCAGAAAAAAAGATAAAATCACATGGGAAACTTGATAAACTTGTCATGACATAATAGGCGAACCCATTAATAAGACAGAATTAGTGGATTATTTCCCTTCAAAATGTAATTCTAGAGCTTCCATAAAGGACCAGGATGATAAATGAACTTAGGTATAATGACTAGTTATTTTAGGTAACTAAAGTTTTTCATCAAAATTCCCCTCACAATACAAAAAGGTCGCTCATTAACTCTTTTACCACTCTCATAGATCATAAAGGCTTCAAACTAGAAGACTTTGATAAAACAGTTACCATACCATTGCAATACTCTTGAAGATTACCAACTGCAATTTCCAATCCTCTGCTGGCAGTTGTACCAGCTGTAACTGATGGCATAGCTCTTGTAATATCCTCCTCAGCAAACGATCCTACCGAAGATAAAAAAAAGTTGTTTATAAAGTAGTTTGAAGCATAAAAAATCATATTCCAAAATCTGTAGATAGAAATAAGTTGCCCATACTAAAATATCTTATAACTTGCCAAGTTAAAATTTTCAAACAGTTTTTACCCTATCAAATTCATTATTATCTCATGCAGTCACTCCTTTTCATGTACACATCTGGTAATAAAAAAGCTTGTGGGTTTGTGCAACAATTAAAACTTTACAAATTAAAGTCATCTTACGCAATTTCTGTGCAATTGACGCAGCCTCAGCAACACGGCTGTCATCAGAAAATAGAGGTGAAAGTTTCGTTAGATCGCCTGGGCTACTATTAAACTCCATCAGGTACTGCATGTAAGAAAATTGTGAAAGTGTTAATGCAATTTAAGCAATATATAGGACACAAAATAGACCAACAGTACCTTTACGAGCTCTATGGTTTGACTAGCAGTTTCACGCTGAGCATCTGCACTCTGAATACAAAAAGATAGCAAATAAATGCACTTAGGAAATGCTATCAAATTAGAAAAATGACAAGACCAACAAGTAGCAAATAAACCAGTTAGTGGTAGCTGAAATAATGAATAATCTTACCTGCAAATAATCTCCCACTTTTGCAGCAGTCTGCCCAACACTTGAAATACGTGAATCCAACCTTGCAAAACTGTTGAATAAGCCATCTACACCTTTTTCCAGCTGGAGATCCAAAATCATATTAGATTCATATTCACCTAAAACTTATAATTTTGAAAGATCTTAAAAAAATTATCGGATTTTTTACATTATGTCATGCTATGGTTCAAGCCAAGGTAAAAATGTGAATGCATTTTAAAACAAAAACAAGAAGAATTTATCCCAATATTCACTATAAAACTGTTGAAGTTTAGGCATGAAAGAAATAATTTCTTCTTTTATTGACATTTTTACTTGATGATTTAAAAGAAAAGGTATGAAGGAACTCTGCAAAATGACCTCAGTTAGTGTCTTCCGGTGCTTAGCATCTTCAGTAGAAACCTCTTTCTTGAGATTGTTGAGTTTTCCATCAATCTTTAACCAATATCAAGAATATTAAAAATTAATATGAATCCTACAGGATTCATCAAACCCATATTACAGATACAGAACACACCTGCTTGCGAAGTTCAATCAACTCTTTACAAGAATCCTTGAACAGTGATAATAAAGCATCTACTTCTGGAAATAGAGGTGCATTGAGTCCTTGCGCAACTTTTGTAGCATCAGAAGTTGTACGGGTATGTCCATTTGGCAGAGCATCAGTCCCTCCAATGCCGTGTCCATCTCCCGAATCTACTTCATCTTCGCGTAAAGACGGCAGGAGCTCATTAACCAAGTTGCCAAATAATGCATCAAACGAAAAATTACCCTGCCAATTGAATTTTGATCATAAACTTATATAATGAATTTAATGAGCAAAGTAAGACAGGCTATGACAATTTTTGTTTCAAACTATATTTAAGGGTTATTTGCATCAGACATCACCAAAATTATTGATTAGAATCTAAAGTGGTCTCTAAACTTGGAAACATTGTAATTGAGTTCTAAAATTATCACTAATATCCAAATCAGGTCTTTCCATTATCCAAAATTTTTTGCTATGACAATAAAATGTGTCGCAATTAGATGATGAAATGTGTCACCAACTAACATTTAATGAAAAGTGAACAAAATAGCAAATGGAAGGACATGATTGGAACAATACTGATAGTTTGAGATCCAATTAGAATGTTTTGAAGTTTAATAACTAATTTAGTATATGATCAACAATTTGGGAACATCTGGTGCAATTAACAATATATTGAATCATTTTGTAATTTGATTCATTACCTTAAAGTCATCAATGTTAAGGATGACAGGAAGATTGCTTGCAGAAGACGTTTTTGACCTCCTTTTCATCTATTGACGTAGATTAAATCAAACGAAATTAAGATAATATTGCAATTGAAGTTTTTGCCAATAGGCAAAACAGAAGCAACAACTTAATTTTGAGATAACAAAAGAAGAAAAACGAAGCATGCAAGGAAAATGTGATTAATTTAACCTATGCTAGGCCATAATAAAAATAATAACAATAACGTTTAAGCGAGGATAATGCAGTAACTAAATACTCCACTATCTCTAACTTGAGGCAGTAATTTAATTTCTTTAGAAACCCAAAATAAAATAATCTGTTTGTTGTCCTCCACATTCTCAACTACCAAATAGAAAGGAAAAAAAAGGAAACATGAAAGCTACCTCCAATTCGCATCTTAGTTACAATTCAGTAAATTTGAAACTAATTAGCATTCAAATGCAAGGTTAAGCACTGATATTCTTTCTGAACAGTCCATTGAAACATTTCAATTTACATGAATTCCCCATGCAATCTAATTCAGATCTACCTTATTTTTTCAAAGAGCAAAACCAAATGTAGCAGCATAAATGAGAAGAAAGCATTCTTTTCAATCTAATGGAATAAGAAAATGGAGAAGGATCACCTCAGTATTAGTTGAAGGAGCAAAATTTGGTCTTGACGAGACTGAAGACTGGCAGAGGAAAGTTTTGACAATTAAACAGAATCAGTAAATTAGAATGGCCAGAACAATTCTCAAAAATCAGGAAAAAGAGCATCAAAAGAAGGGAAAATAAAGCTATTAAACCTAGACTCATAATGTAAATAACAAAGATATTACATATGGAGTCAGGATATTTACCGCAGAAGGCAACAGCAGCAGAATCAAATCAAAATGTTGAAATAAGAAACTGCTGCTGCCATCATAATGGCTGTTATGTTTCGTACATATTTATTTTTAATTTTTTTGGGAAGTAAATGCGAGAGATTTTAGTGTAGTGCCACTAATCACAATTTATCTGCAGAGCTTCGAGGTACAGATATGATGGATAATAGAAAAGCATGGAACATGTTGACCATAAAACTTAAAGAGTTCCAACAAATGTAAAATCTACAATTTACCTTCAATCCAGATCAGCTATCTGCGAACAAATCATCGTCAAATCATTTTTTTCTTTTTGAAACTGTTTCCTGTCCTGCAGCACAGCATATTTCTTTGCATAAGATAGGAATAACCACACCGCATTCTTCACAACCCAAAATAGAGATTATCAAGAACAGGTATGGAAAGATGGGACCGTTCTTTTCACCTTATTTGATATATGTTTAAACATTCTTTCTTTTTGGGTGGCAGACCTCTGCCAAATATAATTGCCCTGACTTGTGGTTGAAGAGGCATTAATGTCTGTAGTGTTATCATGTGTTACGCTTGATTCCACCAAGCAAAGGTGGTCCAATCTATATGAGAGTTAAGCTCAGGATGGCGGCTAACAAAATTCTTGGAATATTGGTTTCAAATCACTTATTTGCTGTGGTTTCTTCGGGCTTTCTTTCCTTTTCTTTCCCCTTTTAACCTCTCCTTCTTAACCTATTATACTGTACTCTTGAATTAATGTGATTTCAAGTATTGCGAAGGACATAGGGTGTACTCTAAGTCTAAGCACTAAAACCTCTATATCTCTTGATGTGCAGGATGAAAAAAAAGGCAGTCCCAGCAAAATAAGATGCATATAATAATATTTAATATATAAAAAAATTTACTAACACATCTAAATGACAACTGTTTTCCATACAAATTTTTAAGAAATATGGTAGATCTGCAGCATCTTCTGCACGCTTCTAAATAAAAAAAAATGGAGAATAGCCCATGGTAAGTGTATGACTCTTTTCCTGTTAACTTTTATAGGTCGATGGGATGAAGCGGGAGCTTAAAGGTGGGTTTCTAGTAGTTATGCAGAAGTTATCTAATCAAGAATATGATGTCGATAACCCGAATAAGAATCAGAAGGAAAAACTTCTGCAGCAAATCACTTGTTTATGATGGAATTGAATCCTATGCATTTGAATGCCAAGACAATGGAAAACAATCATAAAAGCATATATGATTTTTCAATTTTACCCAAAAAAATCAAGTAATTCTCAGCCAAACAGCTTCATAACCCAACCGTTTGACTTATTTAAACATGATACATGTTCTTAAACACCAAATAAAACATCACGGCTCTACATATTCTCAGCATGACAAAAGTTGCAGGCAATAGATAATTAAAACTGAAAATAACTAAGTCATAGAATAGAGTCACCGATTCCCAAAACGGATTCAAAATAAAGTTAAAAGGCAATGAAGAATAAGAATAATACCAAGGCTTGAATGAACTTTCAGCAATCTCTAGAACTCCATTCAGCTGCAGAAACAAAGAAATAAATGAAGTAGGGAAGAAAAGGCCGAATTAATTAAAAAACTGAAGCTGTAAAAAAAGTGAATTATAAAGAAAGAAAAAGAGAGATGGGAAATCGGTTGCTGCGCAGTTTGGTTTGAGGAAAAAATGAAAGAAAATAGGGAGAAAAATTAGAGTGATTATTTTCTACATCTTTCGTTCAAAAAAATTGAGGAAAATGAAGAAAATTTATGTGTTCTAAATCCAATTACAAGAAACCATCATCAACCATATGCAAAAGAGGAACAGAGAAGAAAGCAGGGAGAACAGTAAAGAACTTAGACCTTCGTCCGGCCATTACTAAATTCTCCGATTGTAACTACAGTTGTAGTCGGAGGCGCGGCAGAGAGTCACGAGACGAAGTTAGTTTCAGGTGAAGGAGATCTGGTATGTGAAAAAAATGGAGAAGAAATGGAGCGAAAAGAAGGGAACGCACTAACTGTGCCGTTGAAGGCATAAAAGAATATTTAACATACTATTATTAAGTTTGAATTTTGGGTAAACTACTGGATTGATCACTCTTATTTTATATTTGTATATTTTTGCTCATCAAACTAAAAAATAAATAAATTTTGATTACTTATATTATTGATTTATAAAATTTTGATCACTTTATGGATTGTTACAATTTGATTACTGAGCCATTAACTCCAATTAGATGACATGACAAGTTAGTTAAAAAGGTTAATTTTTAATTTGACCCCTGAACTTTAGACAGAATGCTAATTTGAACCTAAACTTTAGATGAAATATTATTTTGACCCATAAATTTTAATTAAAATATCAATTTAACCTCTGAATTTAGGGATGGGAATGGGACTCGGACCCAATGGGTTCCGACCCGATCGGGTTGGGTTTTTAAAAAAAATCAGGGTCGATCGGGTTTTTTAAAGGTGATGTTCGGATCAGGTTGGATTCGGGTTTAGGGTGAAAAATACCCGACCCAACTCGACTAAAAAAAATATAATTTTACCTTATATATTTAGGAATAATTACAATAATACCTCTCTATATATTATTTTTTTTCAATTAAATCATTGTTTTTATTGAATAAAAATAATATTTTTATTATTATTTCGGTCATGTCGGATCGGATTCGGATTTTATCTAAAAAAAATTGGGTCTATTTCTAGTCGGGTGGAGGGTATATATTTTTCGGGTCTGTTCGGATCGGATGAAATATGTAAAATTTCTGAGTCGGGTCGAGTTGACCCAAACCCGGCCCATGCCCATCCCTATCTGAATTCGACCAAAGTATCTCGTCACTACCATCACTCACTATTGTCTTTGTCTATCACCGTCGATCAACATTGGCCACCGTCATCGTTGATTGTTAGACCCAAGATTTTTAGTCCACTCATTTTTAACCTCCTAAAAATGAATATAGTGGTTGTTTCATCATAAAGTATCTAAAAACTCAACAAATATAGTCCAGAGCACTTCGACTTCCATTAAAATTAAACTATAATAATAGGTTTATCAATAATATTCCTTTTAAAATAAGGACATAAAAGATTTAAACCTAAATTTTTTATTTATAATATTATTATGCTATATTTTTTATGTTTATAATATTATTTTTAAATTTTTAATATTTATAAAATATTAAAGATGTAACCTAAATTCGATAATTTACCCTAAATAAAAAATATTTTTTTCAATCAACTAATTATTTATGGTTCACCCCCTTCTGATTTGTGTGGAAAGTCCTGAATAAACCGATGTCCAGGTTGAGAGTTGAATGGATTTCGAGAATGATGAATTCAAAGGAAAAGCAAGAGAAAGAAGGGTATATTCTCTTGAGTCTTAAAGGGCTATATTATATATTTTGAGATATATAGTAATCATGGAAAATTTTAGAATGCATGCTATATATTAAAATGCACCACTAATTTTATAAGATAAATTTTTTAAATGGTCATTATATTATGTTAAAATAATTTTTTTAAACATTAAACTTTTAAAAGTTACATCATGGATATTAAATTTTGATTTTTATTATAAAATGAATACCACGTCTTTAACTTCCATTAAATGAGTAATGTGACATATTAAATTAATAAATAAAAATCTCACTTAACTTCTCAATTGTAATTAAAATTTCATTTTGATATTTTTCAAAGTTTTTAATTAATAATTCTAAAAAATCATTCTTTAAATATATATAAATTCACAATTTTTTTAAAATTATAAAAATATTATTAAAAACTATACCTTTATGAATTTGTTAATTTATAAAATTGTTTTATAATTATTATTTTTTATTTAATTGTGATTATATTTGTAAAAAATTATAATTTATAATTTTGGAGATCCAATAATTTCGGTTATCAAAAAAATGAAATCAACTTTTATATTAAGTAATGTGGTTCAATTATTTAATTTTTGTTTAATTATTTTAAATATAGTTTTTAAAATGTATTTATAATTTTAAAAATAAATTTTGAAAATCCATATATTTAAAAATTATTATTTTTAATTATTACTTAAAAAAGTTAAAATAAAAAAATAAATTTAGTCACAATTGAGGGAGAAAATAAGATATTTTTTTTATTTTGTATGTCATATTACCCCTTAAATGATATATAAGTGTCAGTGTTTTTTAACGAAATTCAAAGTTTAATGATCATTTTATAATTTTAAAAGTTGAATGATCAAAAAAATCATTTTATTATAGTTTAATGACTATTTATAAACTTATATCGATGTACACTAATGTATGACGTTCATTGTAGACTCATTCTAGTAATCACATGGTTTAGGGAGTGTTATACAGTGACATGATTTATATCACGTCACTTTTTTATAGTTTTTAATTACAAGATTATCTTTATCTTTGGAAAATTAATAAATTTTAGATAAATTAAAGGACTGGTCACTTTTATAAGTTTTGCACATTTTTTGTCACTGGATTTAAAAATATAATATTTGATCACTTTCATTTTTATTTAATTAAGATGTGATCATTTAGGGTTAACTATCTTATGACCTTTAACAGATTGTCGACATGACACAATGAATTTATAAAATTAAAAAGGTAAACTACACAAATGGTCATTAATATTTGTGTAATTTTTTTCCCCACTAAAGTTTCAAAAGTAACAAATTGGTCACTAAAACATCAAATAGGTCCTTGAACAATGACCACATATTAATTAAATAAAAATAAAAGTGACCAAATCTTTGTTAAATAGAAAATGAAAATCACCAAAAATTATGTCTTTTGAATTCAGTGAGAAAAAAAATACAAAACTTAAATGAAAGTGATCAATCATGTAGTTTATCCATAAATTTTCTTGGAACTTTGATTCTTTTCATTCTCCTTTATTGGGTTGTTCAATAAAAATAGAGTGAGGGCTCAATCTTGTTCCGTAAAAATATGCTTTCAACTTGTTTTTCATCTTTTCCAATTTCCCCTTATCTTTAATGGCTTACAAAAAGATCTTTGAGTGATATATCCTATGACCTACTAATTGAAATTTTGATGTGTGTTGCCACGAGTTAGCTCATTTTTTTCAATGTCTAATTTCATGCAAATGATAAATATTTTTCAGGATGTCACATATATATTAATAATATAAATATTTTTATAAGAAACAAGTATAAATAAAATTTCATGGTAAACATCATTAATAAAATGAACAATTAATACAAAAAAATCCATATTTTAAGATAAACATATGTCCACCTTGACGTACACATAGATCTGCCGCTACTCTTCACCTAGAGGTGGAACACAAGTTGGACTAGAGAGTGCCATGGCCCGTCAAAATTTAAAAATATTATAATTTGACTCTTAAAATATTTAAAAAATTCAATTTGCCCTCCAAAATTTTTAGAAATTCGAATTAAATTTTAATTTTTTAATGTTTTTAATTAAACCCCTCTAATAATTTTTATAATTTCTCATTAAGCTTCTCAAATTTTCAAAAATTTTAGTTAGACCCTAATTTTTTTAAAAAAAATATATAAACTAGACATTCAAAAAGTTAAAAAAATTAATTTAAATATCTAAATATTTTAAAATTTTAAGTTGACACTCCTAAACTCGATCATCAGCCTTCGTCATTGTCTTCCCCACATAGAATAGTTATGTTTACAAAAGGCCTTATAGGTCGAGAGCCCACAAACTTTGTGTAGGGGGGATTGTTAATATCTTTCAAGATTTCGAGGACCAATTGTGTAGATGGTAGGAGGTCTAGTGGTTGTTCTCATCACATAATTAAAGGACGATTATTTATTTAGGAACATGACATGTGGAGATAAGGTGGCGTGGTGATTGATATTTCTAAATGGATTTAATGATTGAGGATTAAAGTTTTCGTTAATGATGGTTAAAAACGAAAATTTTCATTTTGAGTGACCAAAATGAAAGAACTCTAACAATAGGATGACCATTGGTATAGTTTATCCTAAAAAATGAAGTAGTGCTGACGTAATAAGTGATGATATGATGATGTAAGAGAGATAAGGGAGAAAACTACCAGCAAACAGTAGGGACCTAAAGGAGTAGGGTTAATTTTTTTAATAAAAAAAAGTAAAAATAAAGTGAGGCCCCACACATCAAGCGGGCCCCAGTGTCAAGTTTAGGTCTCGGGCTTCTTTCAAAAATTCGTGGGGTCCAAACATGTTTACTCCAACTCCCATCCTTTGTGCGTGTCATACACGCTCCAAGTTATTCCCCTATTAAGATTTTTTAGGGTAAACTACGTTTACTATCTAAATATTACTTCTATTCCCTTTTGGTATCTAAACTTTATATTTTCTCAAAATCATAACTAATGTTTAGTTTAGGTTATAATTTAGTACTCGTTGTTAAAAAATTAGCAGAACTGTTGACGTGTTTTTTTTGTTTTTTTAATTATGATGTGACATTATCTTATGGTGACACGGGAACATCACCGTTAAGTTTCTAATGACGGGTACTAAAATGATACATAAACTAAACATTAAGTATAATTTTAAAATATAAAATTTAGGTGCCAAAACAAAACAAAACTAAACAAAAATAATAGTTTAAATATTGAACGTGTAGTTTACCTTTCTTTAACACTATGAGAATATTATAAAATAATATATGTTTAGAATATTTTTTAATTAATGACAAAACACACACTTTACATACACAAATATTCAAATCCGAAAATTTTAAAAAGAAAATCACACTCTTTTTACCACTAAAATCAAACGTTGGATTCATTCCCTAATTAAGTCATAATACCATTAACGTCACACGGTGAATTTATTCCCTAATTAAGTTGTATTTCATTTGAAAGAGATAATTCTCTAATTTTGTCGTAACGTATAATAGAGTGATTTAAAAATCCCAAAAAATCTTGGACGATACATGCTATAAGACATTATTCACACAGTAAATTTTGTAATTAAATTCATAAAAAAATCGATTGAGATCCGTCAATTCAATCAATATCTTATATATTTAATTGTCGAATGTCTTGTTTTTGTTTTTATTTAGTTATTAATAAAGGTTGAAATGGCACTTGTTATTGGGGGGGGGGGGCAAGGAGGCTCATTTTCTTGTTGTGAACACAATGAAAGTGGCCTGATTTTATTACTAATATTTTAATTCTGATTTTTTTTATAATCTTCATATTTCAGTTTATTAATCGATTAATTCAGATCGGATATTACAGAAGCAAGCGTAATTCTTCTAACCCAATTTACTTCATTTGCAAACGTCGGGATTTGAACTTTTGACCTTACTTAAGGGATATAGTGTCTCGTCCCACTAGACCAACTGATTGTCAGTTAATTATGATTTTTTATAAGAAAAAAACATGTTTAAAATGATTTTGATGATTTTTTAATGTTTTCCGAATGTAGTAGGTTAAATGTTTAAGTAAGGATCTAGCCTATTAATTATTGTTCATATAAGAGTCTAATCTTTCAAAATGATCAAGGGTCTAACTTTTTTAAAATATACTCAAATAAGGGTTTAACATTTCAAAAATATCAAATAAGGACCTAACATTATTTAGTCAGCCCAGATAAGGATGTAACTTCTTCTAATCTCCTCAAGTAAGAATCCTTATTTGAAGATATTTTAAAAGATTGTTTTATTTGAGCATATTCGAGAATCTTAGGCCCTTATTTGAGCAAGTAAAAAAAGGTTAGGCCATTTTTTAACCGTTTTAAAAGGTTAGACCCTTATTTAAACAACAACTTAAAAAGTTAGACAATTATTTAAACATTTAGTGAATTTAATATATATTATATTTCACATGACACGTTCTTAGAGTGTCATGCGACTTTGTTTTATAATTAAAGAACAAAATGAGATTAAAAAAAACGTTGTTACACCCTGAGATTTCAATTCAGATACATTGATTAAGTATAATAGTTGATTCAAATGATTTAGATTCAAGGAGTTACGTTTACATTTTATATATTATTGATAGATTAAGAAAATTTTGAACATATGTTACCTTTTAATCACCTCTTACGATTAAAAAAAGGTAAACTACATGTTTAATATCTAAACTATTACTTTTGTTTCATTTTGGCAGATAAATTTTATTTTTTCAAAATCATACATAATGTTTAGTTTAGGTTTTATTTTTGTACCCGTCGTTAAAAACTTAATGGTGATATTGACATGTCGCTATAAGATAATGCTAGATCGTCATTGAAAAAATAAAAGAATGTCATGTTAGTAATTTCGTTAACTTTTTAACGGTGAGTATCAAATTAAAACTTAAACTAAACATTATATATGATTTTTTTTAAATAGTTCAGGTACCAAAATGAAACTTATATTGCGTAGGGATAGGCACGAGACTTGAACCCGACAAGTTTCAGCCCGACCCTACCAGACGCTATTAGGTAGGATTTTTTAAAACAAAAATTGGATTTGGGTCGGATTTTCACACGACGTGTTCTGGTCGGGTTGGTTCGAGTTTAGGATGAAAATAGCCGACCTAGCCCGAAAAATATTGCAATTCTACCATATATATTTATAAATAATTAAAATAACACTTCTCTCCATTTTATTTTTTCAATTAGATCTATATTTTTTATTTAATAAAATTAATATTTTTTAAATATATTTATTTTAAATCGGTGGGATTGGGTTGACCGAAAATCTTACTCAACCCGATCCATGTCCATCCCATATCTTTGGGGTAGTGAGATACACATGCACCAAAAGAAAGTGAGGTACCAACACCTTGAAAAATAACATGATTTTGTGATTTACCCAGAAGAAAGTGAAATTGAGTGGTATATATATACATAGGTGGGTGAGTGGGGCTTTTGGTCCATTGTTGCAGTTCATCGGTAGCTCAAAGTGATGGGAAGGCAGCCTTGTTGTGACAAACTTGGTGTGAAGAAGGGGCCTTGGACCGCCGAGGAAGACAAAAAACTCGTCAATTTCATTCTCACTCACGGCCAGTGTTGCTGGCGTAGCGTCCCCAAGCTCGCCGGCCTCCGCCGCTGCGGCAAAAGCTGTAGACTGCGCTGGACCAATTACCTCCGCCCCGACTTGAAGCGAGGCCTCCTCAATGAAGATGAAGAGCAGCTTGTTATTGATCTTCATGCCCGTCTTGGCAATCGGTTGTTTATCAAATTTCCTCCTTTTTTACATTTTCTATTCATCAATTCTTTTTGGAGCTTTTCAAGTTATTTCATAACCAAATTTTAGTGTCTTTTCTTAAAAAATTAAATTTTCGTATATTTTAAATCTTTTTGTTGATAATTTGATTTATTTTTAAAATTTTGTAAATTTATTTTCTAATATATATATATATATATATTGGTATTATGAAATGCTATTTTTAGTATAAATTATGTATTTAGTAACTCATCTATTCCTGGGATTTAGTTTTGAACACTCTATTTTTCTTTTTTCAAAATCATATTTAATGTTCCATTTTGATCACCCAACGTTAAAAAATAAATATAACAATTGGTGTGATAATTTTTTACTTTTTCCACTGATGATGTGACATTATCTTATCCTGACATATAAATGGTTCTGTTTATTTTTTAACAGTAGTAACCGAAATGAAATTAAAACATAACATTATGTATGATTTAAAAAAATGTTGAATGATCAAAACATAACAGCAAGAATAGATGTGTGACTAAATAAATAATTTACTCTTTCTTTTTTAACATGATATTTATGCATTTAGTCACTCATCTTTTCCTAGGATTTCATTTTGGACACTCAATTATTCTTTTTTTAAAATCATATCTAACTTTTCGTTTTGATCACCTACGGTTAAAAAAATAAATATAACGGCTGGTGTGACATTTTTTTACATTTTTTCAATGATGACGTGACACTATCTTATAATGACATATCAATGGTTCTATTTATTTTTTAACAGTAGGTGATCAAAATAAAACTAAAATATAACATTATATATAATTTAACAAAAATAGTTGGATGGTTAAAACAGAATTACAAGAATAAATGTGTGACTAAAAGCGTAGTTTACCCTCTCTTTTGTTAACAAGATATTTATGTTTTTCATTATCTTTAGGTGGTCCAAAATTGCAGCAAGGTTGCCCGGAAGAACCGATAACGAGATCAAGAACCACTGGAACACCCACATTAAGAAAAAGCTCATTAAGATGGGGATCGATCCCATTACTCACGAGCCTCTACACAAACCAGACACCCCACAAGAGGCAGTCGTCGGAGCAACCAATGATCATCACCCGAATCTTGATGCTGTTGATCAACTAGAGCTCCCCAAAGATAGTGGCGATGTTTCTTCTTCTGCTGCTGTTGAATTTAGCCCTCCGACCGAGAATTCCTCGACCGATGAATCGGTGTCCGGCAACGAGGAAGATCCGTCGTTGAACTTGATATGGTCCGAGGCGTTTCTCAATGACTTGACGTGGAACTTCAGTGGCCCGGGTTCCGGAGGAGAGTACGGTGAACTTGGGTTTTCTTCATCGGAGGAAAACACCTTTTCGTGGGTGTTGGATGATCGGAACGTGGTAGATGATCATCGGAGTTTCAGAGTTGGCGGGTTCGGTGAAATTGACTTCAATTCACTTGACATGGGTGGCAAGGTTTAGCATGCACCTAGTGCCAGTGCCTTTGTGTACTCGTGTAAAAAATTAAAAAAATAAAAAAATAAAAAATTAAAAATAAAGGGTAAACTACCTACTTGGTCACTCACCTATTGCATAGTTTCTATTTTAGTCAGTTAATTATTATTTGTTTCTATTTTAGTCAGTTAATTATTATTTGTTTCAAAGGTATAATGATAAAATTATCCCAATGTTTTCACAAATCATCACTTTACCCCTTCTTTTTTTTTTGGAGCATTCTAGCCTCCAACGTTTCAATTTTTGCTCAAACATACCCTATTGGATGGGAATTGTTAGCCAACTAACGATTTCCATCTAACATGTGTTGTTCTAACCAAAAATTGAAACGGGGGCTAAAATGCTCCAAAAAAATATGTGGTAAAGTTATCATTTGTGCAAACGCTAGGGAGTAATTGTGTCATTATGCCTTTTTCAAAATCATACCTAACGTTACGTTTTGTTTCTATTTTGGTCACACGTCGTTAAAAAATTAACGGTGATGCTGACATATCACCATAAGGTAATGTCACATTAACATCAAAAATAATTTTAAAAAATTAACAGCAAGTGACCAAAATAGAACTAAAACATAACAATAATTAAATGATCAAAATAGAAACTAAATAACAGGGAGATGATCAAATAAGTAGTTTACCTAAAAAAACATAAGTCTTCATTACTGAATCCCTTACCACATTAAGCTTCCTTTCCAGCTAAACTGTTGATCCCTTGGTTAGGATGAGAAACAAAAGAGAAAATTAGTTGGTATTTAAAATTAAATTGATAGTTTTTAACTAAAATTTAAAGAAGCCCTTGACTTTATTACTTTTGTTTTATCTAAATAAACCATTATCATTGATTATTATGGCATATGGGTGTGTTTGTTTCATGTAATTATTTTCTTTGGTTAACATAAATGATTTTGTGATCAACATAAATAATATAATTTTATATAATTAAGTAAATATTTTTCAAAATCTATTTTTAACAAATTAAACAAATGTTAAGATTCTAATGAGTTATCGGACGGATTACATTTTTAATAATCTAGAGTGATTATATGATAATATTTGTTCAAAATATTTTTTTAATATGTTGACAATGCAAATACTCTGTAAATATAATTATTTGAACCCAAATCTTTTATAAAAAATAAAATTCTCTTTTATTATTAAGATCAATAGATGAATCCACGGATTCTACTTAAACTTTTCTAAAGGAAGTCCTAACAATATCATTTATGAGTTTTTAAGATGGAAATAAGTAAGCTTTAAAGGCAGCCATTGGCTTTATGGCAAAGATAATTGGTAAGTGGGTATGCTGTCACTTTTCCAAAAAAGCAAGGATACTTTGCAATCTCTTCAGCCTTTTCAGTTTTACATTTTTTATATGAATAAACCACACAAATGATCACTAATGTTTAAGTAAGTTTTTGTTTTCCCATTAAAGTTTCAAAAGTTACAAATCGGTCACTAATGTTATCAATCTTTTATAAATTGATCATTAATGTTATTGATTTGTTACAAATTGATCACTCGAAGTTAACCGCCGTTAACATGTAGAACAGAATGCACAGTTGGACCGTTTAAAGCTTACATGGACTGGGTTAACTGTCACACAGGAGACCCTAATGTCTTCAACGATCACCTCTTCACCTTCAAATAAAAAAATCCAATCCCTAAACTTAATTTAGAGTGTTTTCATTCATATCTCTTTTGTTTAAAATTTATCAGAAAATTATAAATTAAGAGTTTAATAATAGAGATTACGTATCATGAAAATGTATTTACAATTCAAGAAGAAAAAGGTTTAACATATTTATGATTGTATTTACAATTCAAGTTGTATCATGGAAATGTGGGGCATCTTCTTTGAAGCATTTGTCAAAAGAATGCAGAAATTTGTTTGAATTATTCGTAATGAAAGCTCGACTACTGGTGGTTCTTCTGAAAGTACCTCATCTGTCTGAAGCACTAAATTGCCATTGGGGATTTTGTTATCTATATTGAAAATTTTGTTCAGTTGTGCTGAATTAGTGTATGTTGGTTTCGAGTGGGAGTGTTTTGTTTCTTGCTGCATATATATTGACATGTGATCTATTACTTTCAGAAGGGATAGGAACATATTTTCGAGTGGGAGTGTTTTTGTTTTTGTTCAAGGTTATCTTTCTATCTTTGAAAAGATTATGGTCTTTGCAGACAAAAGGGTTCATTCTTCTCCATCGAATCTGGCTAGAGATGGGAAGAAGGAAAGTTCAACACCAGATGGAATGGAACTACCAGATGAATTATTTGGCATATTCATCCAAAATCACTATTAAATATGCATGTGCAATCAGTGGTGAACATTAGTAGAAACAACAGCAATGCCAATGTGATCCAGCATGAAAGCAGTATGTTTTCAAGTTCATTGTCTGAAAAATATTTGGTAGAAAATGCAAGTATGATTGTCTATATCTAGCAAACAGTATGGTAGTTTTCAATATGTACATATATGCATTCCATGTATGTAGTGTTTCTTTTCTTCGTCTCTGGTATTATTAGATGCTTTAATTACTGTTATATTTCATGGCTTGATTGATGACTGTTGTTTCCCATCATAAACATAACACTAAAAGAAAATATGAAGCTGTTTTAATAGAAATCATGACATCTTCATCCATTCTCTTGATTTGTTCACATATATATTTCCATACTTCCTATTTCCTAGGATATTTTTAATCTAAGAGCTAATATCTATTTTTTTTCACTATGCAACATTTCATTTCTTAATTTTTTTGGTTACTCGTAGTTTTTTTCTAATTATCATACGATTGATAAATTTCATATGCGATTTGGTTTGCTTTTACCTAGAGATTAAATTTATTAAATTGAATTAAAATTATAATTAAATAGATATAATGTGTAAATATTGAGGACTAAATGTTGAATTATACAATTTCTTTTAACAACAACGACAGCTCATTCGTTAAAATATCACGGCAAGTGACTTTATTGACAAAATTAAAAGATCGATGGTAAAAATAGATGAGATAAATAGTTAAGTAGTCAATAGTATAATTTACCCTTTAATTATTTCTTAATTAAACTGATATTTATTCATCTGTAAGACACTGATGAAAAGAACTCTTTTAAATATATCGATTGTTACAATCCATTTATATCAAAATCAAACAATAGAAACATTGAACTTTGAATTTAAACCTAAAATGTCGTCAAAACTCAAAACCCTAATTTCTATCAAAACTTAATTAATTCAAAGAATACACTTATGAGTCCATGAGAGTTTCTTACATTGGAACAAACTTTTCCCCACTAACCTAACTTCTCCAAATACTTGTTTCAGTTATCAATGTCTGTCTTGTCTGCCATTCTGATATTTATGTCTAATTCATTGAATATCATAAAGATATGGCAGGATCAACATTACCACTTAACCATAATTAAAAATAAATTATCTTACTTACAACTTAATTCATGTCACATTTACTTTGATAGTTATCAATGATGTCATTAACCAAATATGATTTCGACTTCTTAATTGTTTCATTGACCATATATATAAATGCCTTCCTACAATTTATATGCTACCCTACCAAACTATTTCTCCTCCACCGTCATCATAGTTAACCACGCCTTTTTCTTTTTCATCATTTAAAAAGAAAAAAAATTCATTAATTATAGGTAGAATGAACTTTTTGGAACCTCAATTTTATTAGTTTAACCATTTCAGTACTTCATTTTGTCATAACCATTTTTTCGTAAAACAATTAAATATTATTTAAAAAAACTATTATGATTTTATTTTGGAAAATTTGGTGATTTGGAATTGATTTGAATAAAATGAAAAAGGAGTGGCTATTTGGATTAGGTAGGTCGAATACTTAAAAACATCTTTTAAAAACAATTTTAAGAAAAATCATTTTTTAAGACAAAAAACTGGTCTGTGTTTACAAAGATTCAATTAAAACGGGTTCAGGAGTCGGTTACGCGTGGGGAAGGATTAGCACCCCCACAACGCCCAAAATTAGTATTGTGTTGCTTACATGTTGTAGTAAATGATGGAGATCATGAATCGAATATAAAATTAAATTATTATCCATTTATTGAAATTTAATTAATTTGCTTCAAATTGATTAATTTGAGAAAATTCTTTAACTTGAAAAGAAATCTCAAGATTAGAAGTCCTCCGTCGGGAAAGCTATTTCGACTATTTCTTATCCGTAAAGAATATTCCCTCTTCGATAAAACACGAATCGAATATAATTTGAAAATCGATATTTGCATAAAATAAAATACCACATAAACACATTGAATTATTTGAATAAACAAGATTCATTTAGTAAAATAAACTATATTTATTTCAAGTCTCATTTCGTTCGAACGTCGTATCAGATTGTACCACTTTGATTAAGTGATACTTTCCATGCCCGTTCTACAACTACGGGTTCTTGAAATATTTGAATAACATATCGAGATAAGGAAATAAGGTAAAAACAAACACAATTATAAATGAAAAATAAAAATATTTACAACATAAAAATAATATTTATTAAATGTTATACATAGTAATACATAAAATAGGAAACATGCGTTTACATAAAGGACAAGAATGAAAACAAATAAATATTACAAACCGTAATACAAATGAGCAAAAAAAAGTATTTGAACTTACAAGGACCAAAATGGAGAAAAACATAAACTTAAAGAACTGAACAACAAATAAAAATAATCCAAAGCCAAGAACAAAATATTAAACATTATGTACTAAAAATACAAATCACCAAAAATAATATTAGGGACCAAAATGAAAATAATAGAAACTTGAAAGGCTAAACAATAATTACAAATAAAACAGAACCCTGATCACAAATGTTAAATAATACATGCACTGGAAATGAAATAAACCCATAACTAAAAATAAGAACTAAAATAAAATTACATGCTAAAAATCGAAATAACTAAAAATATATAATTTACAGTGACCAAAATAAACACGCGCAAAATAATATGGCCAAATCAGAAGCCACAATATTTAGTGAGGATCGAACATGTAAATAAACCCAAAACAAATAATATTATGACAACACAATGCC